CCACTTGCCAACACTTTCAAATATGTAACTGACACATATAAATTTTCCTCTATAGTACAGAGCTGCTACGCAATCACATTACTGAATGTGACTACAAGCAAATATCACAACACACAGTTTAGAGTCAATGGTGCTTAAACATACATCACCCCTCTCTTCCTCCCTCTCATGTCCACTCTGACGGTGCTGATTAGGATGACTGTAGCCAGCACGACCATTAGAAAATGAGTGCACACTACCTATGGAAAGAAATATCCATATTTGAAATGTAAAAGAAACTATTTAAGAGGTCAACATAGGAGCAACAACATTGTTTAATGTCACTGCATGATGATACATAAAATAAACCAGCTTTAAGACATCTTACAAAGTAAGATACAAATACCAAAGTAGTTTAGGTATTTTAAGCTCTAAAGTAAGTGATTTACTATTTCACTACAGAAATTTAAAAGAACTCAACTCACATTCTGGGAATTAAAAAAAAAAATTGGGGGAAAAACAAACTGATGCGGATAAGAATTGGAGATGGGAGGGGGTGTGGAGTAATTTTACTGTTTTGGAATGTCTAAAACTCCCAATGCCGCTGAGCAATACCACTATATCTCCATTATTATGCTGATAAACAGAAATACCTGTTGGAAATGCCCCTCCAAAAAACATGTTGAACAAATCTTCTGGAGTAATATCAGCCTCACAGCCTCTGTGAAAGTTGAATCTACCATTGCTAGGGTGACTGCACGTTTGCTCTTCATTGCCTGTAAGGTCGTACTGCTTTCGTTTTTCTGGATTACTCAGCACAGCATATGCATTTCCTATTTCTGAAGCAAGGAAGAAACACAATTTCAAAGCCAAGAACAGGTGGAGCCTGATGTCCTTTACTGTATGTTACTAATGATCTGTAGTACAACAGGATTCAAAGACATCTCTCGTTTTTTGTAGCATAGCTTCTACTGGGTTTCCCACCAACACTATTCAAAAGACACTTATGCTGCTGAACTAGGCAGAAGGGAGGGCAGTTTTGTTCCTTTTTCTAGAGGAATACTTACTTCTGCAGAAATTTTCTCTCTCACTGCAACTGAGAAAAAAAAATCAAGCATTATAAGGAAACTTTTGAAATCAGGTAACTGCAAAATTCCATTTGTTGTAGCAACTTCAAAGCATCATAGACTCAACAGGTTTCTCTGGTTTCATTTGGTAAGTGGCAACTTCTTTGAATATGTCAGCTTTACATTCACACACTACTGAAGATATTTTATGGATACATTAATAACAAAGTTTTGCAGAATGGAACATGAAGAGCACAATACGAATGCATTACAAGAACCTGTACGTTCCTGAGATTCTTGATACAGTCTTAACGGTTTGAGAGTCTGGCCAGAATGTTTGTCTCACCCGTGCTACATTATCACAAACAACCAACCTCAATTTTGATAGCAGAAAGCAGTGTGATAGCACAAACTCAGTCAGGTAGCTACAGGAAGGATCAGTGTGAAAAGACCACAAACTTTGACCCCAGCTGCTGTCCACAGGCATAAAGCTCTTGCAGATTTAAGGAAATCTTCTGTTGACACTCAATGAATAATCTTCAATCAGATGTATGTTCACTAACACCTTTCTGCTTTCCTCCAGATCTCTCCAAAAAAAGGCTTACTTTTCACCCCATAAACACAAGGCAGAAGGATAATGATTTCTGCTTGAAAAGCCTTCAGTCATTAAAAGTTTCTGAAAGGTGCAGCATTATCACCTCAAGACAAAAGGCAAGTAAAACTATGGCTTTGAATAATTAATGCTTTCAACATTATTCAATCTAAAAATAACCATTAACGAGTCCTAGCCTTGTGCCTTTTAAGATGCCCTTAGAAATGATCATTAATAATTCTGTAAAATAGAGAAAAAAACCCAAAGAAATGAGACCTGAGAGCACATAAGATATACTAATAACAGCAGGTACTGCTGCAAGGTTAATGTGTTAATGAGTAAAGGATACAATTGGCAATAAAAAACCAAGATTTTTTCAACAGTTAAAAATTTTTGAAATGTTAATCGGGTGAGAAATAAAGTGAAGACACTGTACTGTCACAGTACAGTCTGCACACTTTTCTATTTGCTTTTGATTATTTCATGCTAATTCCAAACAGATTTGATTTAAATATACTTGTCTTTAAATAAAGGACTTAAAGACAAAAGAGATTCAAAAAAATGAAAAGTGATTATTTCCACATAAACTTCTTAATCTAAAATAACACCTCAAAGAAGATTCTGTAATACAACAGAAGTACTGGACAGCATCACACGAAGTACTTACTTAGGTCTTAACACTAAACTCAATTCTATTTTCTAATGTGATCTTTCCTTAAAATAATAACATTCGAGGAAAAAAATACATTATGAAACCTCTTCTTAGGCTGGATGTTAGAAACTTATCTGGCACTTCTAAAGGCAAACTAAATGACACATTTACGTAGCCATACAATAAGTTGACAGTAATATCAATATAAGAAAAGTGCTAGCATTTATTAATTTTTAATCAGCGAAATCTTTTGTTCAGGCACTCATCCAGTTAAGAACCAAAAAGCAAAACCGAGTCCGAGAAAACAAATGAGCCCAAAGTACTGATGTTAAATAAAAGCTAGAACAGTAAGATACCACCTTCTAAGATTTCAAAGATTATTTAAAATGCTACTAATAAGGGAGAACTATTTAATTTGTAATGCTGGATACAATTTTATAAGAATAACATACCTTTTAAACTAAAGTAATCACACTTTTATTAAAATCTATTAAAATTATCATTACTGAGAAACTTCCCTAATACAACATACCTGGAACTGTTAACATGCTACTATAATTACCCCTTACGTCTGTATCAGAAGTTTTGCTTGGGATTTTTCTTTTCTTTTCCTTTTTTTTTTTTTTTTTTTTTTAACCCTCATACCCCTCCCTCCCAATGTAGGAGTTTTACTCCATTGAGTTTTTCAAATGTCCGTATATAAACTTCACAAAGGAAAAATATACAGAAGTACCACTGTCACATTGTCTCTTTAGGAAAGACCTTTTCCTATAGATATTTTTCTTCAACTGTATCTGACATGAAGCCTGTTTTCTTCAAAAGGCTTTTCTTGCACAATTCTCCTTGCACAGGGCAGAGCTTGGCAGCCTTATGGTCTGACTATCAGACTGTAAATCTTGACCAAAGAAACAGTTACAGGGAGCTACTCATGGGTATGTCTGAATAAGTGTTTCTGTGTGAAAAATGAAAGAAAGCCACTCACAAGGAATTCTACATACAAGGAATTCTAAGGAAAAGAAGGTAACTTAGAATGGCACACAATTCAGTAAAAACTGCCTTTTGCAAGCGAACATTACCTCGGTGTTTTCTTTGTGCTCAAATACCAATGTCATAGATTTAAGTGTATACCTAGTATAATTATGTTCATTTCAGCAATATTAAACTAAATATGCCCATGGCCATTTTGTATACTTGGTTAGGATTTTGACAGGCTAACATCAATGCTTACACTAGAAATCAGTTTCATAACACAAAATGATTCACTACAAACTCCATATCCAGTCCATGTCCAGCAACACAGCAACCACTAAGTATCACTTGTCCCTTTAAGCGTACTACTATCTCACTGAAAAATAATAATGCATTGTCAAGGACTGACATTTACTCCACATAACTACTATTCTTCACCCAAACAGCCAGTACTGCAGAAGCCAAAGTAATGGCAAATGCTATAATCCCCTAAATAACCTGAATAATCATACCATACGTGCTGATACTGAACCAACTTAAACTGACAGTAAGAATCCACTGACTACATTTAGTGCAAATGAATGACAGCAAAAAAATGCAACTGGGTTTCACAAATCAAGTTTTAGTATCCTTTCCCTGTACCTGAAAATTACAGTCAATCCTCTGAAACCAAACTCAACTCCATTTCAAATTCTATGCATGTGCTAAAATAATAAAGGTCAAACATTTCCTTGGATAAAAAGGTCAGTTTAATATTAGCTACAAAACACAACACGGGCAATTTTATATAGAAGGACAATCTACCAGTGCAGATGAATTCTTTTTAAATTGACAGAGTTCAATCATAAAACAAAGTTTAATAAAAATGGTATTTTACTTTTAAAAGCCTCCGTTGCTCCAGGTGCGTGGTTTTTGTCTGGGTGAAATTTCAAAGCAAGTTTGCGATAAGCTTTCTTCAGGTCTTCTTCACCTGCATCCTTTGATACCCCAAGGACTTCGTAATAATTTTTATACTTCTTCATACTGCAAAAGAAAATGAAATAAAAGAGAGTAACCAAAAAGATGCAAAGGAGTATCTTAGAACACTCATAAATGAGGCAATACATTGCACTGATGCAGTACAGTAAAATTCTCACTTTCAATATAAAATACATTAAAAAATCCCCCCAAATAACAAAGATGAATGCCATTTTTCACAATAAGCTCAACCCTGATGACAATAAAGTATTGTACTCAAAATTCCTTACTGCATACATTTAATTTATTGTACTTGCACTGTGCAGCTACAAAAGTTGTAAGAAAAGGCTTCTGTCTGCAATTACTGTAGAAGTTCTTTATCTTCAATTACATGAATATTGCTGTTAATAATGCATAAATTGAAGATTCTAAGTTTATTTTACAGAACTAGAAGGTAGGAAGGCCTGTTTTCAGTCTCAACAGTAAATGCACAATACAAACAAAACCAAACATCGTCTCCCCTTCTCCAAACAAATGTCAAGTGATAGCATCATTCAATCAGTCACTTTTGAGGGAAATAAGGCATGTAAGAACACCTGAAGGCACCTGAATCTTAGCAAGCTGCTTATAAATTAAAGCAACAACAAAAAAGCAAGACCAGTTCCTGTAGTTAGATTTAATTCATCTCAAATATTCAATACAGCATTTTTTAAAACTCTTAAACACCTACATTTGGTCTGCTTTACAATACCCAGAAGAGCGCAACTGCAATTACTGGGGTAGGGAGCATATTAACAGTATGTAGGTCGGAAGAAATGACCAAAGAAAAAATACATCTTAAAATCAATCTTGTTAAGTTTCGATTTAAAGGAAAGAAAAAAAAAAAAGATAAACAGTAATCTGGGGAAGAGTTCAGAACCTCAGAAAAAGAAAGGCTGTACTACAGTACTCAGTACTGCACTACAGAAACAAGGCACATGCTAACATTTGGCAAAGAACAAAAGAAAAGAGCTGGTCTGAGCAAGAAATTACATCCAGAACTACTTAAAAAACTGGCATGAGCCTCTTTACGTGGCTGTAAGTGTGTCCACATTCTTTTAAATGCACACATTTCTACATAAATATGAGTTTAGTGTTACAAAGACCATACACATAGTAGCCAAGTGGAAACAAAAAAGGGGGGGTAAGCAAGCATTTGGCAGCTTCATGAAAGAATGGGGACTCTGTAATTAAGGGAATGCATCAGAAGTACAACCACACCATTGTGTGTGGTCCTTAAAGTTCACGGATTGAGCAAATCAAGCTTCATTGGAGGGATCCCTTTTTCAGCATTCAAATAACATGAGCTTTTACAGCAATCTCCACGTAATGCTCACAAGAGCTCTGAAGAAAACATATGCAGGCAGCTGCCAACATGAACATCCTGTGAAATAAATACAGCTCATTATATTCAAGTAACATTTAATAAGCTCCTGTTAGGATGCTGATAATGCTAATTAAAAATAACACAGTGAATCCATCATCAAGAAGGAGTGGAGAGGAAAGCACATATATTAAATTACACTCTGAGTACTGGAAACCTTTGTTTGTTAATATGTACAGTAAGCAAAAACTTCGGTACTATCCACAGATCCATTCATCTTTAGCTTCAAGAGCTGTGTTACTTATGAAACTTACCAAGAACAAAGAGCTTTATTTAGAAGTCAAATTAGCTTTTATTTCATGAAATTGCTGCATCAGCATCTGATCTAAATTCTTCTCTTCAGTAATTCAGAATCTGAACTATCAACAGCTTCTTCCCCCCAAAGCATATGGTCATTTCTCATGGAAACAACAAACATGGAAAAAAAAACCCACGAAAGTTTACTTCTGAGCAGAGTTGATATTCACTTCTTTCACAGCTGTCTGAGATGCAGCCAGGAGAAAAAAAAACGGAGGGGAAAAAAACTTGAACAACTCAAGAAACATCAACCAGTTCTTCTAACCCTCAAAAACGTCCTCCCATTCATGGTCAGTGGAAGTCCCACAGTGAACAATCCTCATGGCAAAGCTGGAACAATTAGTATTGACCAGAAGATGTACAGGTCAGGATCTGCCCATGTTCTTCTTAGAGCCAGTGTGTCAAATCAGAGTTATGGCTTCAGGAGAAAAGTGCAGGCAGGAACCTGCTTTGGGGTCTCACAGCACTCGCCCTCAGAAGAGAATATAACCGCAGTCCATGTAATAGCTAGCCTGAACCTGGCCCATGAATGAGCTGTTATTTAACAAGAAACAAACGTTTGACAAGCAAAAAAACATCTGCAAATACACAAACATCTCCATTCCAACATTTCCAATTCTGAATGAAGCTAGGATTTAATTTTTCAAGCACATCTTCTATCTGCTCGCCCTTGTAACTTAAACAACCAGACTAACCTAACCTAAACAACCAGATGCCTTTGTGAATTTGTGCTGACTTCTGACTTTTACTGTCCCTTGCACGCTCCCATCAGGATAGTCATGTTTACAGCAACAGTGCCTGCAGCACTACCCTCCTTTCTATTGCAAAGGAGAGTTTTGTATGATACCTTCAACACTTCAAGGCAAAAAGCACCTGGACCCCAAGTAGCTGGTACCTAGTCATCGCCTAGTCTTATCAACTCAGTTTCCTACAGGGAGAGAGTTAGCAACAGCTGCCAGCACTTCACTTGCTGAGCAGAACTCAGGACACTCATTTACAGGCTAATGGCTCAGTTCTCACCCAGGCTTCTCCAGCACGGCTGGAGCATTCAGCCCAGCCCACTGAGGCCTGGTTTCAACTTCTTCTTTCATTTTAAAGAGATGGAGACCAGGGGTGTGGCAAAGACTCTCCAAGGCTTCAGTCCTCTTCCCCCACACTGTCACCATCTTCAGGAGAAACTTCTCTTCAGCTGTTCGGAGCTGGTGGAAACCATGCCCAGCTTCTGAGCCTTGATCTTCACTGGACACATCCCATACCACTATCTCTAAGCTAATCAATACTATAGACTGAGGTATGATTCTCCATTCTGCCAGAATCCCCCTGCAATTCTTCCCCCTCCCACTTGTATCCTATTCCAGCCACACATCACAGGCCCAGCAGAGGCTGGGAAAACTTAAAGGAAAATCAGTAAATGTTTTGGAAAAGGCTGATCACTGATGTCACTTGTGTTTTTTATCTCCATCTAAAACCTCTCTCCTGCAGCACCCTCAGCATGAACGACTTGCTTTCCAAAGGTACATTTCAAACTACTGTTTCTATTTGGTCTCACTATCCTTAAGGTGTTGTAGTCCTCAGTGCTTATTTTCTTGTGTATGCAAACCCCACACAGATGTTTCTTTTTAAAACTGCAATTTACACATCACTTGCTTAGGAACTGCCCCCTTTCGTATTGAACTGTTGTTGTCGTTTATTTCTGGACTATTTCAAGGTTGCTGCTTTGTGTTAATTTGTTTTATTTTGGGGAATTGTGTTTCTTGCGGTTTTGATTCCTGGTTGGATTACTTCTGCTCCAAATCACTCTCAGATTACTTACGTTGTTTAGCTGATTCCCATCCTTGCTGAATTGCTACCCCCCGGTAACGTTGTCCTGATTAATGGATTTTCTGGCTGTTTTTTAGGAGAGCACCGTGCTTGATGTTCCTGAAAAAATACCTGACTTTTTCACAGTGGACTTCTCAAAACACACCACAGCAAGTGATGGCCTACTTTCATCCGTAGCCTGTTGACAGAGTTATCTCAGCACAACTGGTAAACCTCCACTATTCCATTTTGCAGTTGACAAGCCACCTGTGGCCGGCCCACTTCAAAGTGCTGGAACAGCCATCCCTGTCTGCACCTGTACCCCTCTCCAACCTCTGAAAGCAGAGAAAAATCCCAAAATGTCTGCTTTCCCCTACAGAAAATCCTGGTCTACCAGCACCGGTTCTCCTGTGCCTACAAAATGATGTGATCCAATTGCTCTGCTCCTTGTTTCGCTTTTCAAATCTACAATTCAGATTAGGTCAGAATCAGCAGCTTTTATCAGGTTAACCAAACCTGCTTACATTTCCATATCAAATATCTGCAGCAATTTCAGTAATTTCAAAATTTTGTCTACCAGAATTACTATGTACTTCAAAGGGCCTTTTGTAACCTCTGTGCACATGCACAGGGATAGCTCAAATGACAAGTATTTTTACTACAATCTCCAAAAACTCCTGATTGGAGCCAATTATTTACACTGATGGTAATCTAAACTGAGCAGCAGTGAGCAGCAGTGTGAATACGAGCAAGAAGAAAGGTGCAAAAGGAAGCTGCACTGAATGACTTCTGATCCCACCAGTGAGCAGAAAAATACAGTAAAACACAAAACTTCTGCATAGGCTCAAGTTTCCAGTGATACCAGCAAGCCTGATGCAAATGGCATCCTGCAGCTGAACTGGAATGCGCCAATCATAGTTTGGATGGCAGAAACGTAGTCTGAAAATGACGCTTCTAGACTGCAAGGAGAGGGGTCATCACAGCATTGATGAGGAACTCAAGCTGGAATCAACATACCCCTGTTATGCCCCAGAAGTTTAAGATCTCCATTTTATGCACAGATTCAACAATACATGAGGGTAATAGCCTTGGCTCTTTCTTCTTGGGGGTACCCATCCACACTGCTTCTCCCATGTTTATTACATGAAATATCCAGCTCTGTGTTTACATCAGCATACTTTTCACTACATTTAAAATTCTTAACTGTAAAAGGCACAGCTTAACTATTAAAAGTGTAAATTGAGGCAATCTGTATCTTCTGTGCTTTCCATAACAGACCTTGTGATAGTGATTTCTATCTTGACTTTCCTACCATTTGGCTGGATACGTCATTAATTCCAAGTAGTTCTAGCAGCCCACCTAAAGGTCTGTCCTGATTCCTTTGCTTTGTGGTAGTGTATTTTTTGTTGTTGTTTTCATTTCAAGAACAGTTGATTGAACCTATGATTTCATTTTAATTACCTCCTTGACTTCATGTTAAAAAGGTAACAACATATTTATTTGTACTGAAGTCTGCAGAAGGTCTGTATTTTTTTCTTGTCAGTCACACAGCCTGCATTCCTTACAGTTTGATCCATGAAATGTGTGGAGGGATTTTTTTTGTTTTGTTTACACAAGGAATTCCTATCAAGTTGCTGATTATTCTTGACCACTACTGGATGAAATTTAACCCTGCCTTGCAAGGTTCCTACAGAACCCATTCCTATATTAGTTTGTTTTTGTTCTAGCTGAAAGATCCAAATACAAGCATCTCATTCTCACACTCTTCCATGGGGCAGGCACCAGCAACGCAAGAAAAGCAATATTCCCAAACAGCTTTCACAAGATAACAGTTCAACTATAACATATTACTATTAATGGCAGTTATTTTACATCCATCAAAAAAATAAAGTATATGCTATAGTTCATTTACTAAAAAGCAGCACTGGACATCATATGATCTTTGAGATCATTTAAAGGAATGTGTATAAAGTATGCAACCTATCTATAACTCCAAAACTTTTTTTTTCCCCTCAAACCATTTAGATAACAGATAATACAAATTTGAAAGCATAAAAATATATGGTAAAGATTAAAAAAAAATAAATCAATTGCCTGCTGTTTATTATTTTTTTATTTTTAATTTCATGCTAGTCCACAAAGCCTTTCCAAAGTCTTTGCATGGTTGGTATGAGAAGGCAGCTACTATAAATAAGAACTCCTTGACAACGGTAATCCTGATCAGCACTTCTGCAGTTAACCAGAAGAAAAAAGTTTACATTTTCTTTCTTACACAGAGGTTTCATTTCTTTATCTCAGCAAAAAAATGCCATCAACCTACATTGAATATTTAAGGAAGTACTTTAAGAGACTACAGAAGCCAAAAGCAAGTTTTCTGGTTTTTGTCATGCACTTGATTCTCATGCACTTAAGCCGACACTGCTCAGACAGGATTTGTTTAGAGACTGCTAGAGCACTTACTCTAAAAAGACATTAAGTCTACTGCTGCTCATAACATATTTCTGCATATCTCTGATCTGCAGGTCACCTAAAGCGTTTAGGCTACTTGATCCAGCTTCTGCAGACAAAATGCATTCAAGAAAAAGATACATACATATAGATGGTATTTTCAAAGCATTTCATTAAGAGACAAAAAAAGAAAAAAAAAAGTGCTTTTGAATACCTCAACCTTTAAACTGTCAGACTGAAATAGTGAGCTCATTTCTTACAAGGCACTTATGCAACCAGTAGAAAGGTATTGCATCTCACACTTTTCCTTGCCGAGTAACTTGTTTGCAAGCTCACGCAATGCCCTACAGAAGTGATCAGTGTCCCCTGTGTACATGGAAAAGAAGTAAAAACAGCACTCGGGCGCTTGTTTGTACTCATACTTGTCTGCATTACTAGAGTAACCCCGAAAAGTAAGATAGATTAATTAGTTACATCACTCTAAGTGTGTCTTCACTACACTTCTTAAATCTCCTTCGACAAGCAAACATAAGATTGCTGGCCAACTCCAGGTATACCAATCCAAGTCAGAGAGCTCTTAGGCTGTTTCCCTGTCCTAGAGTTCACAAGTGCTTGTAAAAAAGGGTTGTATATAAGGTGTAGTTACATCTCCAGTGCTTTCTCTCAGTCTATACTCAATTACTAACACAAAACCAAAAATTTCTAGAAAGAACAACATCTGAGGTTAATGACCATCTTTCAAATCATAAGCATACAAAACAACGGTTTGACAGAGTCAAATTAATGGAAAGACTAAGAATTAATAAACAATTTAAGACATCTGTGCTAATAGGCACAAAACCTAATTTAAAACTACCTTTTTCACACTGCAGTTCTGTAACCAATTCAAAAGTCTTAAAACTGTTCAGCTATGGTATGGCAGAAGCGTACAGTGGTGACAAGCTTGGCACTGAAGAACATCCTCTCCAAAGGAACATGTTTCATTTAATTGGAAAAGCCTGGGGTCTGATGAAGCAAAAACATGCAGACTGTCATGTTTCCAACTAAAAATCCCATTCTCACTGCAGTTTAAATATGAGCTTCCCTTAGCTATCATTACTAAATGCGCTACATTTTTCTATTGAGTTTTAGCCCACTGATTGTACTTAATCCTGTTCTCCTTGGCAAGGAACACACATTCTTCATCTTCTTCAGCACCAATTTATTAAGTGGCGTGTTGATGTCACTAACAGAAAACATGACAAACTCTGCAAAATTTCCAACAAGACAAGCAACTTCCTCTGCTCGTTACTGCACATCTACACCAAAAGTCTGTCTCTCTCCAAACGTTCATGAACTGCTATACTACAGAACAACTAGTATCCAGCTAAGGTTAAGACAATGTTTTAATAACTGATTTCATAAGTTGTATATAAAATACAAACAATCACGGGTTGCTCTGCAAACTATTGCAATTACTTCTTTGCAAAAATCCGCATAGGTTTTAAAAACACAGATTTTCTATTCACAAAATATACTGTTGAAATAACCACTAAGAATCAACGTTGCATGAACACTACCCTCAATGTATAACTTCCAAAAATATCTCTGGTTTTGATCTCCTTAAGTTAGATTGATTTTATCTGGTATTTTGTAAGCCCCTTCCAGGAAGCAGTATCATGGAAGGAAATAGCATGGAGGAAAGCTGGCTCTGCAGCATTGTTTTAGGCAAGACATAATGGGGAACATTTCTGGTTTCTGGTAAAATAAACAAATAAGCAAACAAAAACCAGAACTTGCAGGGAGCCTGATGTCAAAGCAGAGTGCAGCTCAGAATGGCATGTCATGGGTGAATGAATACTGGCAGTCATACAGCAGCCATAATTGTAGCAGCTTTCTGAAAACGTGCCTACACGTCTTAATTTACACAAGGATTAATTTACAGAAGGACTCCTTGCTGGATATTCCACTCCACATGTCTACATGCACATCTGCATGCACACAGATCAGTCAATATTTCAGTGGTCAAAAATTCACACTCTTACTCAGGTTTTACTTAAATATGTCTTGAAGGTCAATAATATTAATGAAGCAGAGCGAAGTCAGTAAACGAAAAGTTTTACTAAATAGCCACACAAACAACTATAATCATGCCAGACACTGTTCTCTTTATGACTGAATGCACTGCTGCTTTGTCAACAAAGAAAGGCAACTCTTTTCTTATTCACTGAACATCAGGAAAAGATCCCAAGATAGCAACAACAGCTAACATACATGTCACATCAAAAAATTATCACACAAATGTCCATTCTGCACAATGGGTCATCCAGTCTACACATACTAGGAAACAGCGACCTTTGGATTTCCCTTCTTTGAACTCTCCTGAAAATATTTAGGCTGTGTTTATCTGAAAGCAGAGGTAAGTTTTGAGGTGTGCAGTTTGAGAGTAGCTAGATCAATATTTCATCAGCAAAAACCAAAGCACACCCCAAAACAATATTTTTCCCACTCCTATGGAGAAGCGTGGAATTTTAACATGACGTAGGAGCTACTTGCCTCAAAAGGACATTTCTACTGAACTTTATTTCTTTTCTTGCATCCTCCTTTTCTGCTGTTGTCCCTTCTTAATACCGTAATGCTGCGTGAAGTCCAGACAGTTTATAAATGCACCTCAGACTACATGCTTCAGTGCTTCTCAGAAGCAGCACTGTACTTCCAGAAAAAAACAGTTTTAACGCTGGTCTAAGATCAGCCTGAAGATTAGCTTTGCAAGTGAGCATGTCATGCAAAATTAAATAGCTGAGTATAAAAACAATTAATAGTAACAGTGTTCCACAAGTTTTACTATAGACTTTTCATCACAACATCTATTTACCATGAAATCTACTTAATTATTTTGAGTACGTTTTATAAATCATCCACATTACTTCATATAGCCAAGTATCACCTTTTATTGTGTCTGAACACAGTAACACTTTCTTGTAATTACAGTTCCAAACAAGCAACCACTCTCAGCTAAGCTTCTATTTTCTGTTGCTTCTTCAGATGCTACACCTGAAAGCATAGGTACATAGCACACAGAATGAAAAGTAGTGATGTATTAAGTGAGGCCATACCTGAATACTCCTTCCATTTGGTCTTTGGTGTAGCCTTTTCCACTTTCACCTGCAGCAGATGCATTGCCCTCCTTCGTGCTAGTGGGCTTACTTTGATCATTGCTACTGGCTGGTTTTCGGCAGTAAGCGCCTCCCCCAGCAGTACTTCCATTCTTCGTAATAGCTTCCAACAAAACTATAAAACAACAGTATATCATAGCATCATTAGAGGCATTAGTAATTAAGTCGGGGCTCTCACGTATCTTAAATGTGAGCACCTCATTGTAAGACACTAGCTACTCCATTCTCTGTTCTTGTTGACCATCACTTTGCATCACAAACGCCAGTCTGCAGTCTGCCAGTCTGCAACTCCTTTGTGTGGCAAAACTATGGAAAAAGTTTCAAAATTCACAACTGGACTTCTCTCCATCTCTGACAAGGTAACATTGGAAAGAGTATGTCCAGGTTCTTCAGCTCCACATGCTTTTAAAAGGGATACCAAACCCATTATTTGCAGTGAAAACATCAAAGTATCTGAGTAAACAGTTCTAAGCGGAACCTGAGAGTTGCTTCGCACTGAGACCTAACCTAACACTCTACAGAATCTGAGAATTACTCCACACAAAGACCAAACGTGTCCCCTGGTACACAGGCAAACACGTATTTGCAATAAATTTACTGATATTTAAGACACAGTAAGATTTGGTGAGATTTGTCTGGTTAACAGATCAGGAAAACAAGAGTTATGAACTTCCCAACAGAACTGATAATCCATTCTCGGTGTTTCTTTAAAAAAAAAAAAAAAAAAAAAAAAAAGATTTGGAGCATTTCACCAATGGGTTTCTATGCCTCTCTAATACAAATAAGATGATGACACTGGAGAAATGTTTCTCCAATAGCAGACTAGAACTCTGGTATTTCAGTGTTGTAACAAACACTCTTCGGCCCATAACTTACTCTGGTAACCTTAAAAAGGGTGACAGAGGAAAACAGCCTGCTCTTTTGCAGCTCATCACCCTCACAAGCCTTTGTAATGAATAGACAAGCAACATATGCTGTTCCAGGGAAAAGGCTGCAGCATCTAATCAAAACTCAGGCAATCACTTGCATGAGTTATATGCTTCCATAGGCAGCTGCTAGGAACAGGACTATTCAACTCCTTATCTTTCCCAGCAAGCAGCCTTGGAGTTGCCTCAGTATCTATAGCTAAGGTAAAAAACAAAAGATGTCTTGATTAAATTCAAACATGAAAAAACATGTATATGCTTATAGGAAATGGAAGACTGAGGCATCATCCTGCCTGTGGAACAACAGTAGACATTATGGGAACAGCAGTGATCCTGGATTCAAAAAAAAAAAAAAAACACACCCTGCTTTTTTATATGCTGTTAAAGCTTTCAAACAGTGCTAAGACAGCATCCTATTTTCCAACCCATGAAGAACAGCCTAGATCATGGGCTCAGTCCCTGAGCTGTAGAACGAACCACCTGACTCATGTAACAACCTATCCCATGCTTATCTGGGAAACAGAATGAGTAGCACTATGTCTCAGAAAAGCACTGATAATGTAGTCATGATTGGAATGATAAGAATCAGAAAGATGAAGACACATGTTTGTCAGACTCGAAAATTGCAATGCACCCTACCAGAGGTTTCTTTGAAGCAGTAAGTCAGCTGCTACATTATACAGATATTTGCAACTTGAGCCATTGGTGGCCATGAGCTGATGCTCTATATCCTTTTCAGGCAGCACTAAGCTGAAATTCAAGCTATTGTTTGCCCCAGGAAACCCAGATGAGACAACTATACCCAGTTTTTGACTCCTGAATTTTGAAAGTCAGCATGCTTTCTAGATCTTTAAATCTTCTTCCGTTCTGTGGTCTAAGAGATCTCAGACAGAGCATCTTTAATAAACCATCAGACTGGAGTTGTCTTTTTATTTATGTTATGTGGATATAAACTTGCATTCTGGAGGCATCCACCTTACCAATACATCTCAACCAGCACCATTCTAACCTAAGGGACTGCACAAGAAACATAATATAGAATAAAAGATTAATAAATATGGAAGAGAGTGTCCTCTTGGAACAAGATGGCAAACAACAGCAAACTAGGCTGCACTTCATAACCAACTAAGAGTTACTCCTTAAAACCCTCCACTGTTTGCTTTTATTTAGTACCTTCCTTACTACTCACTGGCCACAGCAGCCTGAAGACAGACAAATAGCTACACATGGCCTGAACAAGGAAGTTGGCTGATTTCAGTGTTGTTCTTGAGTTCGTGCCTGCCTCAGGAAGATGCATCCATTGATCAGATCAGACTTTTTACTGCCAAAATAAAGAACAGGCAGGCATTTAGATGCTGGATTGTACACTGAGAGGAAGTCTGCACTACAAAGAAAAGAGGCTTTTTGAAAACAGGAAAGCCATAGTTACCTTACTTCAGTTTAAACTGAAGCACAGAGCCAAATATTTGCAAGTTCCTTCTGCTACCACCTGAGGTCAATGAAGTAATAACAAATCAAGATCAAAGATTTGAACAGACAGTGGCCTCAAAGTGAAGCATTTTCAGTCCAGATTTGCTCCAGATAAGCAATAATTGAAAATACTCTGCCTACACCACGCTTTCAACACTACTACTACCTCAAACTTTTCAGACCTCCCACCCCCATAATGGAGCCACACTGCTTAGATGACAATTTAGGACACTCACAGAAAGTATGAGATTCCTAGGAGTTAACTTCCTAAGTTAGCCAGACACAGCACATACAAACATGTTACTGCTCGGTGTTTGAAAAGAAAATCCCATAAAGGATCTACATATGTTGTTTTCAAGTAAAGATGATGAGTCTCACATCCCAGTGTTCAAAGGCTCTCTCACGTGTACTGTTACTCATTTCTGAATGAAAGGTGCTTGCATCGTCTGATTCTATGACTCCTACTGTCACTAACAAAAAGAATTCTATTGAATTCTGAACTCATACTAATGTAACATCCTAAAAAATGAAGCCTGCATACTCATGAAAACAAACATTTGCATCTAAAGGCATCATCAGAAGCGGTGCAAGCAATCCTGAGAAGTGCTGAAAAATCAAACTGTCCTTAATGTCACCTGCTGCCCACAGCTCCAAACAGAACAGAGCGTATCTTTGAAAAGGAGAACATCTTTGTTATATTTAAATCCACTCTTAAAACTTTTCCAGACAAGTCATTAGCTTCCATGCAGTTGCAGGATGAATCGCTAACAGAAATCATAATTAAACTTTATATTTTGACGGTACATCTGAAGTTCAAATCCATTTTCTACCAAAGAGTGACGTCAACATGACCACTGCTCCTGTGAAGTCATTAGCTAAGTATTACTGAACAAGCACTGACCTTACATTTCACACTAGTAAAGCCTTAAAATAGCATTGCTGTAAATCAGCGGATTTCAGGCTTTGTTTAGCAAAACTGAATTTCATTGATGACCAAACTGTTTTTTTCCAGGTGGACCCCTGACTTCAATTTTAAAGATGACAATGAGATAATAAAGTAGTCATTTCATTTATTCTTTGTCACCATCAAATTCCAATTTGAATTTAATGCACAACTTCCAGTTCCTGTCCAGATAACAGAATACTCTGTATGCTTGCAGCTTACTGCACTCATAACAGGTCTCTTTAAGAGCTTCACAAACTTAACTAAATTAGATGAGTTGGTGTTATTTTCAAAGGAAATGGAATGAACTGAAAAGAATTACCAATCTCCACAGCTAGAAAACTGAAGCACAGAGACACTGCAGGTTTACAGAGTCCCCTAACTCCTAAGCACCTAGTTCAAATGAGGCCTAGGGCCTGATTCCTGCTGTGGTACTAGGGCAGCTGCAGTTCTCAGTAGCTTCTGATGGAGTCTGAAGTGCCACTAGTTCCACAAGCCAGGCCCTTGTTTCAAACAGAATACCTGAAAAACGAAGCACAATTAGCCATCTGACTAACTGATGGAAACAGAGCGAAGTGACTTATTTAACATCACAGAAAAATACAGTGAAGAATTTTGCATCAGTGCACAATTCCCAAGATTACAGTCCGCTACCGTAACCACAAAACCATTTTCTTTTCACAAGATCTGTACCTTATTTGTGACATACTTTGCTCATTTCCACAGTGAATAAAGCAAGTGTCCTACAGACAATAGCCTAATTAGCCATCTATTTCCTGCACTGAATACTTTACAATGATGGTTACACAGTAGGAGCCCTACTTTAAATAAAATAAAATTAAAAAAAAATCGAACAAACACTAACAACAAACAACAAGAACTCAAAATTAATCACTTGGAGACACTTTATTTTACTTTCCCAAGAATAACTGTAATTCTTACTTTGGAGAAAAAAGATGGCAAATAAAGTGTATGAAGCAGATAAATTAGTTACCCTCTTAAGTGGAAGAAGCAGAACTGAAATCCTCAGCCTTCCAGATCTCCTGATCAGCACACCTTCCAAAAAGCTACATGTGTTTTCATGTGTCATAATCTAAAACTATAGAAATGGAAGGGATACAGTAAGTTCCTGCTAGCTTCATTTTTCAGCAAAGCATGATGCCAAGTGACTAGAAAAATAAATGTGCCACACGCTTGATATAAGTGAAGTAGCAGTTTCTTTCAGGTGCTGTACCAGCAACATCCATCCTGTCTTTCAAGGAAAACAAAATAGCCCCCTGTGTTACTTAGCTTATTGCCTGCATTTGAAAAGGAGTCAGAAGACAAGAGAGGATGGAAAACATTCAGCGAATCTTTTCATCTGACATCAAATGAAGAAACAGGCCTCACAGTTCTGGAACGCTGCTTCGCTGGAAATTGCAACTGGAAGTTTTCCAAGCTGTATGTTATCCTGTAGGAAAGCCCTCAGGTCAGTACAGAGAACCAACGTGTTCCCTGTTCCTTTGGTGGCACACACAACCACAGAGAAAATGAAAGGAAGGCAACAAGTCACCGCGTCCAGAGGTTCTGACAACACGTAACACAGAGACACCAGGACAGGGAGCGCCCTGCACGGTGTGCACCGAAACCTTAGCATCGCTCCTTTTAAAGAACCGTTTCTAGATGCTAGAACAGCCAGAAAGATGGTAACTTTTTGGAATCGTGGCAAAGAAGCATCTGAAAGGCCCGTTATACTGTGAGGAAGTGAGGTATCCCGTTTTCCCGAGGAAGGCTGAACCCGTGCCTACCTCCCGCTTAGCTAGAGCACAGCCAAACGGGAAACGCCAAGAAAAACCCAAGCAACGTATGGAAGGGAAGCGCTGCCGGCCTGGAGCAGCAGCCCTCACCGCCAGCTGTCAGCGCGGGGCTCGCTGGCGGCGGCAGCACTCAGCCCAGGCCCGGGGCCGAGGCGCGCCGCTGCTACCCGGGGCCGCGCGGATTCGAGCGCCGCTATAACGGCGCAGCACGGGCTCTGACTGACCCGGAACGCACGCCCACCCCGCTCCTCCCGCCTGCTGGGCGCCAGCCCCCACCGGGCCGAGCGCACACGGCAGGCACCGGGCCGAGCAGGCCGCGCCGGGCCCCCCTCGCATCGGCAGCCCCGCGCCGACCGAAGGCTGACGGCCGCCCCCCGGCGTGGCCCCGCGAGCCGCCGGGACGGCCCCCGCCCCCCAGAGGGGGCTTCACCTCGGGCCGTCTCGGTGGGGTAGAGCTTCTGGGCCTTGCCGAGGAAGCGGAGGGCGCGGTCGCGGTTGCCGGCCTCCAGCGCCTCGCGCGCGATCCCGATGCACTTCTCCGCCTCGTCCCGGTTCCCCTCCATCAGCTTCTCCTTCCGCCGCCTCCGCCCGCCGCAGCGCAGAGAGAAGGGGCCCGAAGCCAGAGCGGAGCCGGGCGGGGCGGAGCGAGGAGCGGAGCGGGCAGGAGGGCGGCCCGGGGCTCCCGTCACTCCGCCAGGCTCATCCCGCCGCCTCGCCCCGCGCCGCCGGTCCCGCAGCCCCAGCGCGGCTCGGCCCAGCAGCCGGCCCGGCCCACCGCCTCCTTCCGGGGCGCCGCCGCGCATGCGCCGCCAGCCAGCCCGGGGGCGGCCCGCGGCGGCTCCGGCATCGGCCCGAGGGACCCCGCCGCGCACAGCGCCGCCGCCCGGCCGGCCCCTGGGCGAGCCGCCGTGGAAAAGTACCGCTGCACTGCGGGACTGGAGCGCCGCGTCAACCTCCGCGGGCCCTTTCCTGGGACGAAGCACACGTCAAGATCTAGGTCAACACCTGCCCGCGGCCCTGCTGCAGAAGACGCCGGGAGTAAAGGAGCCTGCTCCGTGCGGCAGTGCTGGTAGAAGCAATTCACTGCTGGTGTAGGCATGCAGCTTACTCCCCTTGCTGCTGAAATGTGACCTCTGCAAAAGAGGAGCGTCTTCGTGACAGTAACATAGGCCTTCTGTAAGTAATGAACTTTAAGAGAGCTAAAGGAGGCGCAATAAAAATCCCTTTAATCCACTTCTCTTGAGGATGCTACTACAGTACCAGCCACAACTCAACAGGCATAGTTCAGCACCCAAACAACTTAAGACCAGGCTAACAGAAAGCAAGTGCTTTGCAACTTAAAAGAAAAACAATAGGCTGAAGTAGCCCAGCTCCCAGTATCCAGGCAGCATACTTTCTTCCTCCCTGATAGATAGCCCCCACCGCCCCCCTCAAAAAAAGAAAAAAAAAAGCTGCCACCAAGCTGAGCTATCCTTCAACAGGAAAGGCCTTACAGCCAAAGAATGGACATGCTGAGTCCCTGGCATTTTTCTGGTAACTTTAACCAAAGCAATTCTTACTCAAAGATGCACATTTGATGACATTTACCAAGGGCAGTATTTGTCCAGGAACATGTTTTCAGGTATTCCAAGTACAGCTTCCAGGACTGCACAGTCTTAAGTTCTTGGAACTGCTCTTTAAGAGCTGTGTAACTGAGATGAACTATTTTTCAGTTAGTGGGCAAGACACAATCAGTATTCATATACCATTTATTGAATATTTCCACTCTAGTGGATGAAAAGTCTGTACAAAACCAAACATTTCATTTACTTAGTCAAATTCCATTTACTTACTCAAACCAATCTAAAAACAGTCATCTCAATCAAAACCCACTGCAAATACAATAGCTTCTTTGAAGCCATGGTAACACTTAAATACGGTTAAGACTTCAATGCAGAAATTTGGTTTCTTGAGAAAGCTCAAGTGAGCCTCAGCTTCTTAAAGTTACAAAAAGGCAAAACTGTGTTTCACAGATACAGTCCACTGGAATCACCAACACTGGACAATAAGTACTTAGAGTCCTGAGATAACAAGGGAACCTGGTATCCTTTAGACTGTTTTCTGTTGTCCTTTCTTTCCAATGAGAGATTTGTGGATATGTGGTATTACACCTAAAAAACAATAAAGACAATGTTATTTCTCTTCAATTTTGCTAGCTTCCACACTTCAAAAAAAAAGTCACAGATTAAGCTACCTCTGTATCTGTCAGACTTACTGCCACAAACAGCCACAAGCAATTTACGTACCACCACCAGCAATTGTTGCCTTAATGAGAGAGTCCAATTCTTCATCTCCTCTAATTGCAAGCTGCAAGTGACGGGGAGTGATACGCTTCACCTTCAAGTCTTTGGATGCATTTCCAGCCAGCTCAAGAACCTGAAGACAAAGGTATTTTTGAAGCAAGTTACACATATCAAATGAGATCACATGCATAGCCTTAGCCATTCCCTACCCAAACGCGCTGATGGTGACAAGACAGCACACAGCACTTTTTAAAGGGTTCCTTCTCTGGAGCTCTGGATTTAGTTCTAAGAACTGTGTTTTACAGCAGATATGAAGTGCTGCAACTGCACATTAAAAACTTCACACCCCCATGCATCTAAATCAGATATTTTTTTTACCCTGTATTTCATGCAGGTAAGATAGCTGCACATACTTCATTGTCTTCTGAGGAAGCACACACTTGGACCTGCTCAAAATGTGTGAAGAGCTCACAGTTCAGCCTCAGTCTGTGAATAGTGGACTCTGGTCATTGTGCCATTCTGGAACTATTATCCTGCATGCATCCCTCCTGGGGGCTTTACCTCAGCTGTCAAGTACTCCAGGATGGCAGCACTGTACACAGCAGCTGTTGCTCCAACACGCCCATGGCTGGTAGTCCTGGACTTCAGGTGCCTGTGGATGCGGCCTACAGGGAACTGCAAAAATAACATGAGTAGAGCAGGTCTGACTAGAGACATGTGGAAAGAAACCCAGCGCTCCAAAGCACATGCCTGAAATGCCCCACTACAGAATGCTATTTCAGTACTTGGCATCTCACCCTTACAGCTGAATCCCAACTTCACCACTCTGCCCCAATGCAAGGGGGCAAAAGCCTAGAGACCATTCTCTTACCCCAGCCACACAAGTACACAATAGGTCTAAAAGAACAGGATCAAGCTGCACAGTTTAAGGAACTCCTTCAGATAACACCAATACTGAAGGATTCACACAGCACACCCAGAGACACAAGGCCAACCCGAATTCCCTTTGCCCACGCCCCTCTCTGCTCACCTGCAAACCAGCCCGTTGAGAACGGGACACCGCTTTTGTCTTGGTCTTTCCGGAGTCCTTCCCAGCCTTGCCACCAGCCTGACAAGAACAGACGCGTGAGGCCCGGCGCTCAACCCGCCATCCGCCCTCTCAAGCGGCGCAGAGTCCGCGCGCAGCAGCACCGCCGTACTCCGCATGCGCTAAGCTCCATCCCAACTCCCCCCCCCGCCTTACGAGATGGCGGCGCATGCGCACTGCCCACTACACTTAGTAGCGCGGCCGCTCCCTGTGCGCATGCGCGGCCACCACTCCCTCTCCCCAGCGGCACCAGTGCGCTTGCGGCTCGCCTCCCCCCCCCCCCCCCCCCCCCCCCCCCCCCCCCCCCCCCCCCCCCCCTTTCCGCCGCCTACCGGCAAGTAACACACCCGCGGCGCACGCTGCCCGCCCGCGCTCCCCTCCCCCTTCACATAACGGTCACTGTCCCTCAGCCTCCGCCATCGCGGCCTCCACCCGGCCCAGCAGCCTCCCCACCCCGCGACTCCTCACCATCGCGAACCGGACCGCCGCGCAGAGATAGACAGGAGGAAGAGAGCGTCCCGCAAGCACCGAGCCCAGACGACGGCACCGACCAGTCCCGACCCGCCGCGATTCAAACTACACCCGCTCCCGCCTTCCCCCGGCGCTTTATAACCGCCGAGCCGCCTGCATCCGGGAACCCCGGCCTCGCCGCCAGCCAATGGCTGCGGGCGGAGGCATGGCACTCTGCCCCAGCGACAACCAATGGCGGCACGGGGCGGTGCCGGCCGCGCGCTGTGGCGCAGAGAGGGAGGCCCCGCCCCCATTTAAGGGGACAGGCTCTGCTGGGCGGGGGGGGGGGCCGCCACAGTGGCGGGACCGGGAGTCATCCCGCGTGCGGGGACACGGCTATGGTGCCATTAGCCTGCCTGGGTCTCAGCGTCAGCTGGCACGGGCGTGCAGTTGCTTCTTCGGGCACGTGTGGTGTCACATTCTCGCGGCTGGCAGCCACCCTTTGTGTGTCATCCAGTGGCTGTAGGGACCGGGGGGGAAGAGGTACCCTCATAACAACGACACGCACATGCTCTGGGTTTTATTTTTACCTCCGTCTTACGTTAGAGGCACGTGTTATCGAGGGCAGCCCCGCCTCAGACCTCCTGATCTTGACTGTTCCACTAACCAAAGTTATGCCAAATTCAGGTCTCTTCTTGACTGTAACAGTGCAGTGCATCAACAGGGCACTCGTGTCATATTTCCTTCCCGTTTTATTTCAGATACCATTTACAGTACACCGTCACCATTTTTCACTTCAGAAAAAGGCGTTTAGCCACAGAGCTCATTCACAGGGACTCCTGGTTGATCTACCTCCTGCAGCTCTACAGTACCGACCATTATCTGTGCCATCCCACCCCCATTATCTTAGGGATACCCGACCCACCTGCGAGCATCTCGGAGAAATCCTTGTATGTCAAAGCCAGTTGTCTCCTTGGAGGTTCACCCTGCCATGACCTTACCAATCTGTTCACAAAACCACCACTCTACCTCAGTATCCATAGAATCATATTATAGAATCGTAGAAAGGCTTGAGTTGGAAGGCTCCTCAAAGATGACCTAGTTCCAACCCCTGCCACAGGCAGGATTGCTAACCACTAAAACAGGCACTAGATCAGTCTGCCATGGGACCCACTGAACCTGGCCTTGAACACCTCCAGAGATGGGACATCCACAGCTCTTGTGGTCAGCCTGTTCCAGCACCTCACCACCCTCTCAGTGAAAAATTTCCTGATGCCTGATTTAAATCTCCCATCTCTTAGTTTAAAAACATTCCCCCTTGTCCTTTCACTATCTACCCGTGTAAAAAATTGACTTCTCTCCTGCTTATAAGCTCCCTTTAAGTATTGGAAGGTTGCAATGAGGTCTCCCCTGAGCCTTCTCTAGGATGAACAAGCCCCTCATCCACAACCTGTCTTCATAGGAGAAGTGTTTCAGCCCTCTGATCATCTTCATGGCCCCCTATGGGCCCATTCCAACAGCTCTACAAGGAAGAGTTGCAAACACAAGGATCTCCCTAGTAGACAGACATTTATGGGAAATGATAGAGCTGACAACACAAACTGGGGCTACTTTTTCTTTCTATTTTCCTTCAGTCACATTTGAGCTCTGTGCAGCCTGAGGCCTCATCTATGTCTTCACCATCCGTTGTGGTTCAGGCATTTTGTGATAACTAATGCTGCTGCAGGTATTAGGTAGAGATGTAATTCCAGGCAGAGCAGCAGAGCACAAAGAGGCAGAGCCAAACTGAGAGATGACACTCCTACATACATACAGGATCAGGCATTTTATTTTTATGTAACTGTCTGGTGACTCTATTTGAAGCATTAGTTGTTTATGCTGTCCTTCAGCAAGCAAGAAGAGAAGAGGTTTTAGGGTTTTTGAAGTGTACAAATAAAAAATAAGATTTTATAGAAGCCTGCAGAAGTTAAGATTCCATTCCACTTGCTGTTTTAAAAATGGATTCTGTCCCAAACCCTTTAGCAAGGATTGATTTACCCTTTTCCTTAAGGGGAAGAGAGGCTAAGGTCCTAGCCATGTGTCCCTCTGGTAACACATGCAGAGGAGAGGACTGATTTTCTCCCTGGTTACTGTCCAGCAATTTGCGAGAAAGGAGAACAAAGGCACTGTCTCCTACCAGGTGGAGGTGATCCCTACCACAGGCATCCATCCCTAAAAGCTTGCAGTGGCTGCACACTGTCAGCCACTCCATGCAGCATGGGCTGCGTGGGAAAGGAAGCACAACACCAGAGGGATTGCTTTGCCCAACTTTGCTGGTAGTAAATGTGACTCATTTTAGCATGCACCAAAGATCAGGGTGGGTATTATTAAGCTAACATAAAGGTACTGAATGCAGTTTATAGCAGTTCGTAGGGTTAGGGAAGTGTCAAATACTTGAAACTCACCTCAGATAACTTCACACCAGCCCCACAGTCTAATCTCACTCTTTATAGTTAAAAAGAGAGAAATTAAAACTAACTCAGATACTTCAGCATAATCCCAAAAGCAACTTATACCCAGTTATGAATGCAAATAACTCCCACCTCAATTCCACATGCACAAAGGAAGCTCTTACCACCTCCACCTTCTAATGCAGACACTGCCCCACGTTATCCAGCTTTTATAACGTAACCGTTTGGTGGTGGGAAGATGCACGTCTTGAGTGGGTTAGAATCTGGTCTTTATTGATCCTATTCACTTTGCTAGGTTTCTCAGATCAGCTTGGACCACTTGCAGGATTAATTTTCCTTTATTTGCAAAGTACATGGTAGACATAGTTTTTGCTTATATAAATTTACAGTTCTGTTTTCTGGCATGTCTAGTTGGTAGCATCTAGCTAGAGTACACCAGGAAATGTTTATTTTGGCATTGTCTGAGTACTTCATAAGGCTGTGACCTCCAGGCAAAATTAGTTGCCAGTTTTAAATGGATGAAGAATCAGCACCAGTACCCATAGCTGTATTTCAAAGGACAGTTTTCCTTAGGTCTCCCCACTGGCAGGCCATTGTCTGCATTCTAGTAGCACTGTCATGCTGTGCATGATGATGAATGGGGGCAGTTGTTTGTTTTAACAGATACATTTATTTATTAATCTGGTATCTGGAAATGGCTTCACATGTCTCTATAATAGATCTGCAGACAACACGTGCATGCTGATTACTGGAGAGACGTGAGCTCCTGCTTGTGCTCATTGTACACTCTTGTATCTGCTATTAATAGTGCTGTGATGACTGGTCTGAATACATTTTTATCTTGTTCATACTTAGCCAACTGTGAAAGGAAGCTCCAGAGATTTAGGCAAAACAAAGTGAGAGCCTACCAGAGACAGTGCCAGCTACAAGTCCTTGCCTGCTCCTCCCATTGCCCTGTGCAAAGGCCTCACTGCTGTTTGCCTCACACCTCCCTGCAGTGGGAGGACTGATCCTCCCCATTTCCTGCATTTGAGCTCCATCCAGCAGGATAACAGAGATAAGTAATATTTATACAGTATTTCGCTATAAAGCCATATGTGAGCACAGCTCCAAAAGTGTTCAACTTGGTGAACTCTCAGGGTGAATCCAATTTGTCCTGTGCTACTGATGCCCAAAGGACACTTCAGTTAGTCCCGTGCCAATTATATCAACGTGGCTATAGCAATTTCTTTTCCCAATAGAGCAGCCTGGAAAACTTCCCTGAGGCAAATTGGCCACCAAGACTCCAAGACAGAGGCTCTGTGTGCTGTGGTAAAGTCAGGGTTTGGTTTGAACATGGCAACATGCTAGGATTGTGGCATATTTTGATAAAATTACCTTCCTCCATCATTCTTTCAATGATTACATGTTTCTTCAGTCAGATAGATCACTGAAAAATTTACAGTTCATCCTGGGAAATGAGCACCAAACTTCAAAAACCAAATGGGAAAAGATAAACAGTATTTTACATCTGGGTTTCAGTGCAGTCTGTTATTCTTCCCTCCCCTCCTCTTCCCTTTCCTCTTCTCCCTTCTCCCTTCTCCCTTCTCCCTTCTCCCTTCTCCCTTCTCCTTTTCTTCAGTCTAGGTACCCAAGTAGTTTTCCTGTTAAGTCTTTACAGCCACAGTCATGATTCTTCTTACAGCATTTGACATCCATCTTTCAACTGAAGGGAAGCATCGAAGCTCTTCCAGCCCTGACCACTCCAATGCAGCAAAGGGGAAAATAGAAACAATGTGACTAGAAAAACTTTTGATGTGAAAAATAAATGAAAGGGAATTAGTGTTTTCCTGAGCATGGCTGGCTTTTAGTTTTCAATCAAAATGCTAATCTGTTGGAGCTCAAAATGGCTCTTCAAAAATTATTATGTGAAAGGGAAAATAGAAATGCCATCTGCCCCTTGTTCTCTCTGTGCCAAAGTCACAACAGGGAGGAGTGATTAACTCTTCTGTGTTGGTCAGAGGCAGATACTACAGCCACCACTGATTTTTCACTGACAGCCCAATTCACTTTTTCCTTGTGGTGCAAGCTGATTTTTGTAGATAAGCAGCTCAAGCTCACTGCTGAAATGAGAACCTGTAGTGCACCTGGGTTACAGTACAATAGCATGGTTTTCACAGATAATGTGCAATTAATTAGTAATAATGCTTTCCAATTTATAGTCACCTGCATTGAGGAACTGCAAGCTCCAGGACCTGTTTTGTGCAGATAAAAGCACATTGTGATGGAGCTGGGTCAGGAGTCAGGATAAATCCATTACAGGCACTCCTTTACAAGCAATGGTAATAGTGACTCAGGGGTTTGCTTTTGCCAGATTTTGGATCTGCAGCTAGAGATCAGTTCATTCTCAAGCAGAATCACTCCCTGAGAGGGGGGTTGTTGATTTTTTTTTCCCTTACCTTTCTTATAAAATTCTAAGAATTGTAGCTATAAACTCAAAATGAGTAAGAGAACATAAGAGCACTGCAGCCTAAGTCCTTTTCATGGCTTGTTTTAGAAGCAGTTGGCCCTGCAGTACGGTTATTAACATGCGATTCAGTCTATATTCTGTAAAAATGCCTTGCACTTCAATCGGGAAGATAAGGCGCATAGAGATGGATTTGACTGTAATGTGACTGTATCTGAGCAATTGAGATTGGCCCCATGATGGCAGCACAACACAAGAAATAAGAATGTTACCTCAAATGCAGAGGGATGAATGGCTTCCTCTTCAGTAAGAATTTTCAGCTGACTCATCTTGCTGTAAATTTGGAAAGAAAAAAAAAAACTTTTTGTTTTTTACTGTTAGGCAACCAGGCACGGTCAGCCCCTTGCAGGAGATGGGTCTCCTCTACCTGCTGCCCAATGAAGATCCTTGACTAGAGCTTTAGAGTGGGAAGGGTAACTACACAGGAGGTAGTGCCTTGTGTTAAAAACAAGTATTTTTTAGCTGTGAAAGCAAAACACAGTTTGTTGTCAGAAGGTCACAGAATCACAGATTCATAGGTTTTGAAAGGGATCCCTGCAGATCATCTAGTCCAACCCCTCTGCTAAGCAGGTTCCTTTGAGTAGGTTACATAGGAAAGTGTCCAGTCAATTTTGAGTATCGCCAGAGAAGGAGACTTTACATTCTCATATTTGGAGAAAGTTTTTCACTCGGTGGTGACACACTGGAACAGGTACCCAAGGAGGTTGTGGATGCTCCATCTCTGGAGGCATTCAAGGCCAGGCTGGATGTGGCTCTGGGAGCCTGGTCTAGTGGCTGACCACCCTGCACATAGCAGGGTGGTTGAAACTAGATGATCATTGTGGTCCTTTTCAACCCAGGCCATTCTGTGATTCTATGATTCTTTGCTCATGCAGAACTTCCTATATTCCAGGTTTTTTTTTGCCATTGCCCCTTGCTCTGTTGTTGAGCACCACTGGAAAGAGCCTGACCCCTCCACTTGACTCCCACCCATTAGATATTTATAAGCAGTGATAAGATCCCCTCAGTCTTTTCCAGGCTGAACACTCCCTGGCCTCTCAGCCTTTCCTCATAAAGGAGATGCTCCAGGCCCCTCATCATCTTTGCAGACTGTCAATGGATTTTTTCTAGATCTCTGTCTTTCTTGAACTGAGGAGCCCAGAACTGGACACAGTATTCCAGATGTGGCATCACCAGGGCAGAGTACAGAGGGAGAATAACCTCCTTCATCCTGCTGCAGGCCAAACTCCTTTTAACGACTTCCAGGATAGCATTGGTTTTCTTGGACACAAGTGCACACTGCTGGCTCACAGTCAACCTGCTGGCCACCAGGACAACTATGTCCTTCTCTGCAGAGCTCCTTCCCAGCACGTCAGCCCCTAACCAAGCAGTTATTCCTCCCCAGATGTAGGACTCTATACACTTGCTCTTGCTGAACTTCATTGGATTCCTCTTCATCCAACTCTCCAGCCTGTCCAGGTCTTGTGGAATTGCAGCATAGACTTTCGATGTTTCAGCTATTCCTCCTAGCTTTGTATCATCAGGAAACCTGCTGAGGGTGCATTCTATCCCCCCATGTAGGTCGCTGATGAAGACATTGAACAAAACTGTGCCTATTACCAACCCCTGGGAAATACCACTAGCTACAGGCCTCCAACTAGATGCTGTGCTGCTGATCACAGCTCTCTGAGCTCAGTTAGCATAATAAAATCCATTGCTCTCCTCTCATCTACCCAGCTGGTCATGACAGTTCACTAGGTGAAGGCACAGCAGATGAATAAAGGTAAAATTATATATGTATATATATATATATACAGCTATAAAATGACTGTATTTAACATGCAAACTTTCCAGCTTATCAAAAAGCAACATGAGTAATCCCATCCTGTCGAACTTTGTGGTGGTGGTGGTGTAAGTTGTATGTTCTGATAATTCCCTGGTTACATGTCATTGCATCTTGTCTAATTTCCTTACCTGAGGCTGCATCTTCTCATGTTCACCTGACACAACCAGAGGAGATCATGCAGCTGATATAACAAGGGGCCCAACATTTGCAGTGCTGAACAACATCATTAATGCTCATGAAATGCTTTCTTTTTCATGAGAAAACCAGAAAAAAAAAAAACACATTATTTTTCTCATTAACTTTTATCAAATCGGTGATTTATCCACCCTGTTTGTTGCAGAGTTAAATATCAGTGGTTTCAATAGGTGTCAGTGGGTGAACAATCTCTGCTTTGATGCTGCAAGGTCAGTATGTCCATCCCTCTTATCTCAGCTGAGCAGCTGGGCCACAAATCAGGACTGAAGCCAGGTGAGGGGACCTGTGACAGAGCTGTGAGGGAGGACGGAGAGCTGGCAGTGCTCAGGCCCTGGCAACAGAGAGCTATGGTAGACATCAGGTCCCTGGTGCGGCGTCACTGGGTAGGAAGGGACAGTGCCAGCACTCATGAAGAACATCCCTCCCCACAGTGCAGGCAGCACTCTGGTTTGGCATGGAGCACCTGGGAGGTAAGTGTGGGGCTTGGGATGGCAGCATGCAGTTTGGATGGGAAGCTGGGGGCTTCTCACTGCCTTTGCTCTCTGAGACAGCTATGTGCTCATACCATGGCTCACTCTGCCTTAAGAACTGTGTTCTTCCTCAGTTTGGGAAAGGTGCGTAAGGGGGGCTGGACTGCTGAGATCTGTTTGCACTCCAGGGATAGCGTGAGCAGTGGCTGTTGGTTCACACACTGTCCTCGTGGATTCCTTTTGGGCACGTTTGCACTGAAACTTTGAATAATTCTTCCCTAACGCTGCTAGGCTCGTACCTTGAGCCCAGCTTATAATTATTTTTCTTCAAGAGGACTGCTGGAAAATGAGGTGATATTAACTTGGGACTCAACCAGGGTTTCCTGCCAGATTAAATGGATGCTGGAAGCGGTTCTGAATCAAAGGTTGCTTTGACTTTCTGTGGTTGTGTGAGGCCTTCTGCATTTCTTTTTGGGGAACAGGCTCAGGAGGCTCTATAGCTCATATGAGTATTTGCTGTAGCCAGTCCCTGACTCCTTTCTCTCCTTACATTTCCTGTTTTGCAGCTGCTGGCTATGCTGGCAGCCAGCCTGCTGCTGCTCTGTATCCTGCTGTGCTACCAGGCCTTTCATTTCCACGTGGCACAGGCCTACGCACGCCTTGGGTACCCCCATGCCCAGCACATTGTGGGGCAGAGGTATCTGCAAGGTAAACTTCACTGTTGGATGTTGGAGGACATCCGTGCATGTGAATCTCAAATGTGGCTCTGCATGCTGGTTTGGCCACTGTGTTTTACGTCATCACTGCGACTTCACTGCCTTGTCTTTATCTCAGGTGCTGGAGTGGAAAAAAATGAGAAGCTGGCCATGCACTGGTTCAGGTGAGCCGCAGAAATATAACTCCTGAGATGGCACCTTGCTTTCTGCTAGAAAAGATTGCTGAGGCACAGGGACAAAACTGGCAATGCTTTCTGAGGGCACTGGGCCATCCCCTGGGAGGTGCAGGCAGCGTGGAGATGGCCAGCTCTCTCCACATCTGGCTTGGGGTCACACCTTCCCCCCCGCTTGCTACTTTTTAACCAGTGGGAGAAAAATAGTGAGACAGCATGCTATGTGGGGCAGTACAGCCTCGTTCAGGAAATGTTCAAACATTGCTTTTCTTCTATATTTTCTGCTCCTTGCCTACTCTCCTCTCTCAGGCAGGCAGCAGGACAGGGCCACCCACAGTCCTCCTTCAGCCTGGCACTGGGAGCTCTCAGCAACATGACGGCGGCAATGGAGGAAAGGTAACACAGCTGCTCCTGCCCCTTCCCGCTCCAGATTCAGATTTGGTTCCTCCTGGGGGAAAGTGCTGTACTGTAGGCATCCCGTGGATGTGGCTGCATAGGCGTTTTTGAGGTTCCACTGTTGTGTTGTCAGCTCTGCTTGTGTTGGCCACCAGTGCCTTGTTAGCCTCAGAGAGGCTGGGACACTCTCTCCAGCATTCCTGTGCCCTGCAGTGTGCCCAAATGGAGGGACAGCCAGAGCCTGCTGTCTGCACAGTCACTGAGATGGCTAATCCAGGGGCCACTCCTAGTTGAAGCAAAAGTGACCAACGAGTTTCCATCACAGTGCTACTCAGTCTTCTTAAAATTGTTTTGCTGGAGTTTTTTAACTCCAAGCTCCAAAATACAAAAGCAAAAGCCTGTGAGCTGAAGCCATCATGTTTTGTTTTGATCCCGTGTTGCATATTGATCAGATAGACTCACGTATTTGGTTGTACAATAACTATATATTTCAAGAGTTTCAGATCATACGGCTTCAGTTCAGTCAGGTCAGGAAAATCACCAATAATCAGACATACATGCTCAGATCACAGTGAAAAGCAAAGGAAAACCAGATAATTTTCTGAATATTAGACAGCTGAACACCACAGAATCTTTCAGATCTAGTAGTGGTTGTCCTCTATTAGAAGCCTGGGTAAGTAAAAGTCAGATAGGAACAACCAAAACTCCTAGTTTTTCTTGATGAAGATTTCATGTCCTTCAGAGAAGTGGAAAAACTCCTTGGTGTGGCTGCAGCCCATGGACTCCGAGAAGCTCAGGAACTTTTGGAGAACATTCTCAAGAGCAGAAAGCTGCCCTGAATGACTGCACCAGCCTTGTCTTCTTCTGCAACTTTATTGAAAACTAATTACAAGCTGGAGATCACATCTCATACCAATTCATCCCCTGATATTAAGTTAGATCCAGATACTGACCTGGGCCTGATGCTGTGGTTGTGCTGTATCTATTTCATGCTCTGCTTATTTTTTGCAACAGATGATCGTGATTAAAGCTTTGTTGTCATTAATCAGCATGACGTGTGTGAGTGATGTCACCTGTAATATAAATAACAGTGGTTTAATAGAAAGTATTATGGTTAAGATAAATAAAATCTTCATGTAACAGCTGCCATTCCTTAAAAACTTCACCATTACCATACCAGTTTTTGGAAAATATAATTAATCTTAATGGAAACTGCCTTCATCCTCAAGGTGGCCTCAGTTTAAAACTACCGTGGGAAGACCTGCATCTGACAGAAAATGAATTCACTCTGCAGAGCCATACAACATTTTGCTGGCAATAGTGCTGCTGCTGGGGATGCCCAGGTTGGTCTGCAGTCACTGCCTTACTGGTTCCCATGGTCTCATACAACCAGCTGGTGATTTGTCATCCAGTGCCTTCCAGTATTTTGGTAAGAGCTGGGAAATAAGGGCAAGCTTGAGTATCAACAGAAGCTGCTGATTGACTAAAGTGGGAGCAAGCTATCGCAACTCAGTACTTTACCAGTTCTTCACCACATCCACAGGCTTCCCATGAAGCACAGAAACAGCATTCACACTATGAACCTTACACCACCTCCCTACAGGCACAGATTTCTCCCACTCAAATTGCTTTCCAGTTTGATTTTCCCCTGATTTTCTTTCAGTATAACCACCCAAAGCACAGGTTTGTTTTGCTGCCAATACCCAACTAACCACAGGGTCCTGATCTCATCCTTGTTTGATGAAACTGGTTCTTTCTCTGTACCAGCAGCTCATCTGTAGTTTTTGGCTGTAGGAAATCAGCACTGAACATCAGCTGCTTCTTTGGGAATGTTCTGCCAGCCCCAGAACAGCTGAGCTAGTGGGGAAGGGCAAGGGGGAGGAGGTAATGCTTCCTGGCTTCAGTGCTCTCTGCATAGCTCGGGTAGAAAAGCCCAGAAAAAAAAAAAAAAAAAAGACAGGAAAGAAACAAAAGTTTTGAAAAATACTTATAAAGAAAGGAAGGAGAAACAGAAAAGGGGAGGAAATAGAGGAGAGAAGAGAATGGAACAGGAGAGGAAGAAAGGAAGAAGAAGAGGGAAGTGAAAGAATCATAGAATCCTTTAAGTTGGAAGAACCCTTAAGATCATTAGGTCTAACTATCACTTAACAATAACAAGTCCTCACCACTACACTGTGACCCTTAATGCCACGTGTATGCAACTCTTAAATACCTCCAGAGATGGAAACTCCAATGCTTCCCTGGGCAGCCTGTTCCAATGCCTGACCACCCTCTCCATGAAGTTCTACCTGACATAGGAAAAAAAAAGAAAAAGGGAAGGAAAAATTAAAAAAAAGAAAAAAGAAAAGAAAAGAAAAGAAAAGAAAAGAAAAGAAAAGAAAAGAAAAGAAAAGAAAAGAAAAGAAAAATAAATGAGGAAATAAAAAGAAAGAGGGAAAAAAAAAAAAAAAAAAAAAAAGGAAAAAGGAAGAAAAAGAAAAAGGAAAAGAAAAAGAAAAAGGCCAGCTGCCCTGCCTTTGGAACCACTCCTGCAGGCCCCACACTGTGCCCCACACCTCGGCTGCTGCAGCCCTCTCCTCCTTGGCACTTTCTATACAGCAGTAATTAGGAAGATTTTCTTTCCCAAAACACAACTCTAATTATAATCTAATTCAGCTTATTTGAAGTACATTTTGGTAGTGTTTCCATTATGCAAATATCAATTTATTATCTGCACATTATGTTTTGACTACAGTTGTGTTGCTAATTAGAGGCAATTTGACTGCTTTAAAAAAAATCCTTTCCTCTCCCTGCACTTTTACTTGGGAACCGCACAGAACAGACGTTCAGCATGGTGTCAGTGATGAAGACCTGTGGTTAGCAGCTCTGTTTTAATCGCACTAATTGACTTTCAGTGGTTAGAAGCCACTTAGAAAGTGCAGGTTTTGCTGATTTACTTGAGTTTGGGGCTGGAGGCGGGAAAGAGAGAAGAGCAGCTCATTCCTGTTGCAAGCGTCACATTCTGCATGAGGTTTTGGCTGGGTTTGGTACGTGTACACCAAAACAACAATGCTGTGGAGCTTGGGAAGGGGCTAGCAGCCTTTTTGGAAGGAGTGAGGCTCAGAGATCTGGGATTGAGTTTATCTTGGGGCTAGAAGATATCCCTAAAACCTCCTAGAGTTATTTCTCCCAATGGCTTTTACAATGCCTGAGTTCTGTTGCCAAACCACCCACTTTATGAACCTATTTTTTTCTTTATATGATTGCTCGCATGAATGGATAATACCCTGGTATGGAACAGAGCATGAGGATTTCTGCAACCCAGAGTATTTTGGTACTTTTGCCATCGAGTGACCAACGTGACCAAACCCACAGATGCCTGAAGAAGCGCCTACAGCTTCAGCTCTGAAGCATGTGCTTCTGCAGCAGGTGAACATTAGGGGTCCCCAGTGACCTTTCAAAAGCTTTGTATGGAAAAAAAAATACCCTCGAGCTTTCCTGCTTTTCCTTACAACACAAACCTCTTACCGACCCACCTGCTAGCAAGCAATGTTGATACAAGGGGTGAAACAGCTCTGATGCAAAGCTGGGCAGAAACCACCTTGCCGAGGACCGAGAGCAGGGCTATTGTGGCATGCAAATCTATGGGGTGCTGCCACCGGGGCTTTCCTTCTTGTGGGACTTTTCTCTGGACTTCCACCAGGTGCCTTCCTGAGGCTAAAATCAGTGGTTTGGTGCAGGTGTCCAGCAGCACACTTTAAAGTCCCTGGAGCGTGTCCAGAGAAGGGCAATGAAACTGGTGAGGGGTCTGGAGCACAAGTCTTATGAGGAGCGGCTGAGGGAGCTGGGATTGTTTAGTCTGGAGAAGAGGAGGCTCAGGGGAGACCTCACTGCACTTTACAACTTCCTGAAGAGAGGTTGTGATGAAAAAGGGTCTGACCTCTTCTCCCAGGCAAATAGTAGGACCTGAGGAAATGGCCAGAAGTTGTACCAGAGGAGGTTTATGTTGGACATTACGAGAAACTTTTTTTCTCACAGGGCGGTCAGGCACTGGAATGGCCTGCCAAGGGAGGTGGTGGAGTTGCCATCTCTGACTGTGTTCAAGAGGCACCTGGATGAGGAGCTACGAGATATGGTTTAGTAGCTTGTGGTACTAATAGGAATGGGAAAGAGATTGGACTAGATGATCTTGCAGGTCGTTTCCAACCTTGTGATTCTATGATTCTAAAGGACTGCCCTCTCTGTGTTCTGCACCTGGCAGTTCTATATTCCACTCCCAGATCATCATACACGATCACTCACATCACCTCCCCCAGCAGATTAAAAAGGGAAAATCACAATGATATGGTACCTTTAGTATTTAGGAAATGATTAATGAAGGACAGATGTGAAATGAACATTGCACTTACGCTTTGTTGATGTTCTGCCTAGAACACTTACTGGCAGCCACTCCAAGACAGGATTTAGGACTTTTAGTGCAGGGGATGCTCATAGCTCACAAGGGACTGCAGCACAGGGGATACCCTGGCAACAAAATCCAAATTGTCTCACATCATTTCAGTTTCTCTGATGCAATCAAGATATTTCTGAGGGAAGGTGTTCCTTGTCTCCCTCCCCATTACAACAGTTTCACAACTAATCCTTAGGATTGTTGATGCCTTCCCTATACGCTGATGCGCAGTGCAGAGCCCACCAGCTCTGAGCCATAGCCCCTTTACATTGCCATCCACTAACACTGCAAGTCCATCACTACACCATCTCCCTAAATGCCACATCTGCCTGTTCCCTAAATGCCCCCAGCACAGCGACTTCACCACTTCCTTGGGCAGAAACCTTTCCCACTTGACGAGCATTCACAGGCCAACTTTGTTTACCCTTTTTATTATCACAATTACAAAGACACAGACATCTGAATAATTACAGATGCCAAGTAATGATTCAGCAATTAAATACTATCTCAATTCAGGCACCACTGGCTGTGCTTGTAGCCTGGTGGTCTCATGATGCCAACAGCTATTTAGGAATAGATCTGGACCCTAGGCACTGATCTTGCTGAAGGAGTCAGGGTGATTCACAGACCCGAGGGAAGGCTCCTACAGACCACAGAGTGAGAATAAATCAATCTGCTGGGAGCAGGACCAAGTCAAAAGCCAGATGCAGAGGAGTGGGGAGAATTGCAGCCCCCCTGGAGACTTCCCAAGGATGATGGCAAAATTTCTGCCATTGAGGTTTCCGTACAAATAGATGATCTCTGGCTACAAATCTCTGAGTGCTGTAATGGCTCAATTAGTATGAAAGTAGTACCCTAAGTTTTTGACTGTTTTTTTTCAGTGTGAATTTTCCACACTTCAGTTAATCAGAGCTTAATACATGAAGCAGTGTCACGTCCCTTTAGTGGCTTCTAATTACTTTGAAAATTTCCCCAATTATCCAAAACCATAATCAGGAAAATATTCAATGCACATACAACTCATTACCCAAATGCATTTGATCCTGATCCTTTCCCTCCACCAAAATTTAGCTGGGCTCATGGTTTCCTTTTGCATGCAAAGGACATGCAGCATGTGTGCTAGAGGGGAATTATTTGCAATATGGAAAATGCCTTACAGATACCTCCAAATGGGACTCTGGTGCAAAGGCTAAGGGGCAGATTTTGAGACAACCGCAGCGGTATTTTACAGGATATCTTTTAAATTCCTTACAGAAAGACATGATTCTCCTTGTAATTTCTGTTTTACAGCTGACGTAGAAAAAGGCAGAAGAAGCCATGAAAATAGGAGCCCCTATAAGGCATACATGAAAAAACATGGTGGTCAAACAAGGCTATGCTGCATCCCATAGGCAGAGCCTCCAATAAAGTAATCCCATGAGAAACAGTCATTACTGGTGACCGGAGAAGCCATCCCCACCTCAGTCTTGGAGCCCATGGCTGAGGAGTTATTGAGCAAAACCAGACACGTACAGCATACACAGCTTGCCACAGGGAACACCGCAGCTCAGCTGTTCTTGGCTGCTTGCCAACAGCAATAGAGAGATATTTAATTTATTTTAAAGCAGAGACAAACATGAGATCCAGAATAGCACTCACACATCGCTGCTGACCCACTATCCAGTCCAAATGGGACTTAACAGTCCCATTTTCACCACCAACCATAGAGATGACTTTACAAAACACTGCTTTTAAGTTCTGTTAATTAGAAAAAAAAAACAAATTCACATCTTAGCACTGTACAGACATGAACAACTGTATTTCTCATACTTCTCAGGTTTCTTTTGATCCTTTTGAAAGAGCATTGTGAGATAGAGAAGGTAGTGGGTTGAGACCTTGAGGAAATCCCAGATACTGGGGGAAGGAAGCAGGACCTTCAGTGGGGGAAAAATGATTAATCTGCTGCTTTCTTTCATGGCTTTATTATGTGTGCCTTTTGATAATGAGTGAGCATTAAAATACAAACACATTATCCATGTCTCCTCCATAAAGAGGTAGAATCATAGAATTATTAAGGTTGGAAAGAACGTCCAAAATATCAAATCCAACTGTTAGCCCATCACCACCGTGTCCACTAAACCATATCCCTCAGTGCCACATCTCCACGTCAGTTGAAGACCTCCAGGGAGAGTGACTCCACCACCTCTGTGGCAGCCTTTTCCAGTATCTCACCACTCTTTCAGAGAATAAATTGTTCCTAAAATGTAACCTGAACCTCCTCTACTGCAAGTTAAGTTTACTACCTCTTGTCCTTAGTAGTATCCCATTAAATTCTTTGGAGAAGAGAAATATACAATTGCGACTTCCCCACCTGTATTTAAAAGATAATCCTTGCTTACAAAATGATAAATCAGTACCTCTCAATGAAGTGAGGAACATGCAATGAAAATCTGCAAGGACACATTTCATTTTTCTATGCCACGTTGAGGTAACTTGAGAGGCTGATTGCCTCTCAAGATCTCCTGAAGCTTTCAAATGAGCCCAGAATTAAGTTGATACTTAGTGAAAGGTTAGTGCCTAGACGATACTTAATACCAGACTCAGTGTTCAGAAGACATATCAAAAGCAGGACAGCAGCATCCCCCTGGGGTATCTGCTGCTCCTTGTAAAACAGCTGTTTAATTGAGTGGCAGCAACAAGTCAGCTCAGCAGCATTAGAACGTGCTGCTGGAGCTTAACGCTGACCAGATCCCTTTTGCTGTCAATTTTTCTCCAGAATGAATAGCTGGACATAAAGGTATTTGCTGTGGCTGTCTCTTGCCTGGCTTTCCTCCATTTATATCTCACCTTGGCATGGTTGTCTGCTTTAAAAAAAGCTGTATCATGGAATCACAGAACGGTTTGGGTTGGAAGGGACTTTTAAGGTTATCTAATTCCAATCCCCTACTGGCTGATTTCCCCCTCTCCCATACAACTCAGTGTGGGTTTATGCTCATTTGTTTCCCAGAATGCATGCTGGTGTATGGGTTATTGCCAATGGAACCTTTGTGAAAGAATTCCAAGTGCAATGTCAGAGGTTTGCCCAAGCTCTAATAGAAATCTGGTTAACATAAGAAGGTTTTGATCACAAGAACAGAATCCAACAGATTCTGTCCGGAAACTTCAGTCTAGAATAGTATTTAAGTCTGTGCCGAAATTATTTTAATTATTTTATAAAGCAGGATTAACAACTGGCTCAGGATGCTTTGTCTGTTCAGCATTTTCAGCAGTTCCCAGGTTGTGTGCCCACAGTGTGTTTGTGGAACAGCAACAACACAGTTACACAGCTCACTTTTTCAGAGGGAAAAAGACAAAATGAGCAACAATGACATAGACACACACATTTCCCTTCTTATATGATGTGGGGGGACCAGAAAGAAGCTTCCTGAAACCATTTCCAAGATGTACATCCCTCCTTCTTCTTCACTCAGCTCCATTACTCCAGCCACCTGGCCAAGTTACAGGAACACATTGCAGAGCAACAGGCAAAGGATGGAAGTAGGGGACTTGTAGCCCCAGGAGGGTTTTATATGCGTTTTGTTTGCTGGAGAAGAGCAGATGGATTAGAGGGAGCAGATCCCTCTGTCTCGTGAGTGAATCCCTTTTGTTTCTCTGAAAACATTCTCTTTTTGTGACCCCATAGGTGAGGATGATCACATCCTATCCTCTCCATAGGATGAAGAAATGAATTCAGACTGAGAGAACAGATGGATGGATGGACAATTACAGTAGCCAGCTCCAGAAGCAGGAGCTGTGATGAGAGGGTGGGTGCTTCATGCTGCTTTCTGCCCCCAGCACCAGGCACATTTGCATGCCTCAAGTTGAAGGAGGCTCTTTGAGCTCAGCAACCCTCTCATTGCTGTCGCCTCTAATCTTGACCAATTATTACACAAGTGCTTCTCAGGGCTTAGTATGAGGGTGGCTGAAGCCACAGCACTAAGCAGGGTTCCTGCTGAAGAAAGGGGGTAGTGGAGAAAGGGGAGGACTTTAGGCTCCATCCAGTTGCTCTGTAACTCCTAGAAGGAGTCCAGCAGAGGGCCACAAAGATGATTAAGGACCTGAAATATCTCCCCTATGAGAACAGACTGAGTAACCTGACTCTGTTAATTCTGGGGAAAAGAAGGCAGAGAAGGGACCTGATAAATGTTTATAAATATCTAGAGGGAGGTGGGAGGCAAATGGATGATTCTTCTCGATAATGTGTAGTGATAGGACAAAGAGTCTAAAAGAAGCCTAAAACTTGAACAAAGGAAATTCTATATTAACATGCAGAAGAACTTCTTTACAATAAGGGTGACAGAGCACTGGAATGGGTTACCCAGAGAGATTGTGGAGTCGCCTTTTATGGAGATGTTCAAGACCCAGCTGGATGCCTTCCTACGACCTATTGTAGGATACCTGCTTTGGCAGGGGGGTTGGACTTAATTATCTTCTGGGGTCCCTTCCAACCCCTGCAATTCTGTGGTTCTGTAACACCATAGGAATCTAGTCCAGCTGCCTTGGAGCATCTTGTCTTCATGTAAGGAGATTTACTGGGGGTCACTGACCACAGTGGCTCAAAGAAAATGTGAGCCCCAAAATATTCACCCTTAGGCAGGAAATGGCACAAGCACTGTCCAGTGGGTTCACTCAAGAGCAGTGGGAGTTACAGCCACCTGGAATGAGCTTTTGTTTTATAAAAACAGCCTGGCCAGCTCTCCTGTTTCGAGGCCAGAGAGCTGCAAACCAATCTACTAGCTCCTTGCAGCATGGTTCTTCTCTACCACTCACCAGGCAGTTTGTGAAAGTAGGACCACAAAGTGTATCTTTCACAGGAAGCAGCATTTCACACCAGGCACCCTGCAATGAATATTGAAAATAGAATATTTATCCTCAAAACAGATGAGCCCATTTCCTTCTTTAAAGATCTGTTTTTAGGGGTAGTACTAACCAGCAAGTGACTGTCATCACAGAACAAGAAAGATGAGATGACAGCAGAGGAGGCTGCTGTCCCACGGTAGGGCAGCAGACAACCTCCACAAGCAATAGCATGTTTGAATGCATTGTTTGGCATTAAAACCATCATGGATTTAAAACCCAAGGCAGCTTACAGTGGCCCAACTCCAGCAAGCCAAATTCAAGTGCTAGGGTGGTCCTGCAAACCAGGAACTCTGTAAGTCCTCAAGAGCCATGAGTATTATATACACTGTCTCTCACTCTGTTCAATTTAAAAATGAAATAAAATTAAACATAGATTAAAAAATAAAAGATGATATAGATGCAGGAGGCTGAAACACTTGCATTCACACTTTAACACAGTTGTGACATCTGATATTGAAGAAGATTCATGAAGACCTGAATATCAACATGAAGCAACCCTATTAGTCTTTGCTCAGAAGAAGGGCACCTGCCTCAGCCAGCCAAAGAAAAGATGCTCTCAAAGCAGCATATTTTCTTTTGAGTCTGGTTTCAAAGGAAGTAACAGAAGAACAGTATCTGGTGTTCTTTGTTTTTTTCCCCCTACAAGAGAAATCCAATAGTGAGAGTCATGCTGCTCCCTGGTGGGGCTCAGGGACACCATGCACTCAGAGAAGATACTCAGCTCAGTGGGGTTTCTGTCAGAGAGGTCAGTGGGGCTCTCGGGGAGAATGGAACATTTTCCTGTAGCTTGAACCACAGCTAAGCTGTGATTTCCTCCCAGAAGCTCAGCCTGGTCTCATTGAATGGCATGAGGGAATTAATTAAAGCAGGGAATTAATTGCAAAGAGCAGGAGGAGCAGGAAGACATCTTGCTTGAGCCCCTGGGTGAGGAAGCATTGGACAGAAGATGATTTCCCAGCCAGGGGCAGTGGCCCCCACCATGTCACACACCTCTGAAGTATGCTGCACTGAACTGCACTTCAGCTGATTAAACTAATTATCACTGCAGACTTAGTGAAATCATTTGCCACTCCACTGCATTATAGCCACTATGAAGTATTTCTCTTATCAGTTTGCACCTGAGAAATTCATGGCATTGGTGGGGGTTGGGTCTCTGTATTCTTATGGGTTGCTAAAAGGAAAGTATATCACCCTCTTTAGACAGGGACACTTTCAAGAGCAGATCAGAGAGGGTTAAACCAGCCCCAATAAACCACTTAATTTTGTCTTCCCTGATGGAGGGAAAAAACACCCAAAACTTTTCAGAAGCAAAGCTGCATTACTGGGAAATCCAAGCAGCTGTTTTCTGTTCCAGTAGAAGCAAACCATTTTAACAAGGGAAAAAAAAAACCCAGTGTAAAAGCCATGAAGATAAAGAACACAGGAGGCATCACCACCACCCTGCAGCCATGGCTCCTTATACCCTGCCATCCTCCTTACCCACCTGACGAGTCCTCCCCACCCCATCCATCCTCACACCCAAAGCTTTCCCTGCTGTTTCTACTCTGGGAGGGATTCAGGGCATCAGGGATTTAGTGGGCATACAGGTCCTCTGGGCTTTCCATGGCAGAGGAGGAGGAGGAAGGGAGGCCCTGGGTTAATTAATTAAAACTTCCCCTGCACCTCGAGTCATTTGGGGCGATGGAGCAACTCCAAAGGAATACAGACGATTAGTCTCTGGCTCATTAACCTTACTGATTACTTCTAATCTGGCAACCTCCCCAGCACAGGAGCCTCACCAGGAAAAATAAACCCCTCATTTTAGACATTAAAAAGGCTTTCCAGGGTGTGCTGCTAGAATAATTGTGGCCACTGAGCAGTAAATCCATTTCAAGAGAAAGCATTTGGTCGTCTATAGGGATGCATGACTGTATCACAGAAAAATAAGCCAAAAAAAAAAATGATGTTGAAAACTACAGGTTTTGGGTAGATAAACATCTGTTCTATCTCTCTCTTGGAAAGTGTGAAAAAAAAAATCACTTAGGCAATCAAATCTATTATTATTTACATAAAACGCAGCACATATTTGCTCTGTGGTGTGTTAGCTGAAGGATAAATAGGTTGTAGCCCAAAAAATGAAAAGCAGTGGCGAGTGCCAGACATCCTGCTAACAACCTCTTCCCAGCCCTGAGCAGACCCAAAGCGAAGAGGAAGTGATATATAGTTGGTTTTGGTGCTATTTGAAAATAGTTAATATAGACTAATGAAAAAATGCAATTTTCTCCTCCATAAAATAGTATGGGGCCTAAGCCAGTAAGAGCCAGCTGGAGCAGGTCACCTCCAGTTTTGCTCCCATTGAATTTGGGAAGCCCTTTTCAACTCCCAGGCTGCTTCATTAGAGCCATTTGGAGCTCTACACTTCTGTTATTTATTTTAATAGCTCTTAAAGGGAATGATTTCACTGCCATCCCTCCTCATGGTCTAGCACTCACCAAGATATCCACACATGACTCTGGTGCAGGGAACAGAAGTGAAAGGCGCAAGCAAAAGAAAATTCTCCAGGAGCTGCCAGTCAATAACTGGATGGGAGTTCTTAGTTCATGGGTTTCACATCTATAACTCATTATGACTCGTCTTGGGATGTGTGACAACTAGTGACAAAGCATGAGCTTTTAGGAGGACGTATTTATCTTCTTGTTTCCCCTTTCTAAGGACACAAAGCATTCCTGGAGTTTCAGAAGCTGGAGTCTTTGACCACAATTTCTGGCAGTCTACTCAAAACAATCTCTCTGTATGAAGTGCTGCATTACTGAATTATAATAAAAGGCGATGCCTTTGGGAGCAATATAAATAACTCAAATATGCGACAGAAAATGAATTATAATTCAGAATAATTCTTGGTAGGCAGCAGACATTTTTTAATTACAATCATAACTGCTTTTTGATTCTGAGATAAGAAGTGGTTACCATAGTGACCCAATCCTTAAAAATAATTTTTGCCTAATGCTGTATAAACCACTACATGATACCTGCTTTCAGAGAAAGCAATTTAGGAAAACGAGTTTTCCAAACACTTGGTTTTGTGTATGAACAAGAAATGTAAACTTTACTGAAAAATAGTATGATTTTGGTTAATGCCCAAAGAGCCTTACATGCACATTCCCCTGCAAGTGTACTCACAGAAGTTTCCTGATGTTTGGTGCATACTACGGATCTTGCACAGCTTTCAAGCTGATGTAGGAGAGCTTTGAGATCCTGTGGGGGATTAGAAAAAGAAAAAAAAAAGAGATGAGACATAACTGTCCTGCAGACCAACTGAACCATTATTGCCTACAATCAGAAGGGTTTTAAAATATTTCATTTTACTTTAATTGTTCTTAAAATGAGGTGCTGAAAGTTGGCCATGCATCATTAATGGATGGCAAAGGGAATAGACAGATGAGAGATGAACAAGGCAGAATTTGAGCCAAGAATGGACAAAACAAGATTTGAAGGGGAGTGCTATTGTACTGCCTATGAGCTTTCCTCTTGGGGAGGGAGCTGCCTCATTCTAGCCCCAGGAGGTATGCCGACACCTTCCACTATTGGTGTTGTAAATCTTCCATGCACGCAGGCACATACCATTGCAGTGTTATTGATGGAGATCCCCACTGCTGAAATTGCTGCTGTTATTGGGCACGCAAGTCATTTTGATTCAAAGATGTCCTACAAGAGACACTGTGCCAAGTAATTGGCAAAATAAAAAATTTTAAAAAAATTGCATTCACTTAAGTTCATGTTACACAAGAGACACATTTTAAATGTATTTGTTCATCTACTTGGATGTTTAACGAAGCTGCCCTCTTCTTAACATGGTTGCAGTGGAGGCAGTTCTCCCTCTATGTGTTGCATACGATACCATAACGTCTTTTAGTATAGTCCTTTTCCATTCATTTTCTGCTGTGTGAGATACAGCATCATAAATGTAGTGCTTGGCTCCAAGTAAGACATTTTTGTCTAATTGCCTTGCAGGCAACACGTATCTGAAAGTGACAACAGTAACATAAATCAAAATAAGCATGGTCAAAATGCATGAGCATCAGCTAACCCAGTGCTGCAGAGTCTGGACTTGTGGGGTAGAGAGCAAACAGGAGAAATGTTCCATCTGAGATGTGCCAGTCACATACAAAATAAGATGCATTTGGTGGAAAAGTCTCTGATTTTGTCCATTTTTCTAAATTCTTAAAAATGTTCAAATTTTCCCAGAACATATTTTCTCTTTAAAAGTATGGGCTCTTTGGTATCTGTTGTTTTTTGTTTTTTTTCAGTTTGCCTTT